TATATATATATATATATATATATATATATATATATATATATATATATATATATATATATATATATAGTTCGAGTCCTACCGTTACGTGCCAGGAAATAAGCGTTAACTTCGCATGAGATTAAAGACCCACGATGTAAAATCGTTTTCAGTCGTTTAGTAATACTCTTGCAACTATACATCAGGAACGGAACAAGGCGCCTTACCGGCTCTACGCACCGGCCTACGTGCTAGCACCGTTGCGAGCAAAGAGCGAAGCACCCGAATCGTTCGGTATGCCGGGACCAGAGGAATGCGCGGTGCTGTACTTGAGCTATTGCTTGAGCGAAGATCAGTCCTGGTTGTTAGCCACCGCGACAGACGACAGGGGTGAAATTTTCGAGACCGCTACCATTAACATTGACATACCCAACAGGAAAAGAAGAAAGCGCGCCTCGGCTAGGCGCATTGGCCTCCAAAAGCTCATGGACTTTATACTTGGTGTAATGTCTCAGGGTGTAAGTAGACTTTCAGATACGTATCATTACACGAGATACATCTCCAGTTCCTCTTTTTCTCTCTTACACTGAAAAGAAAGTGTCGTATTTATAACTAATCACATAGTGAAAGAATTATTTTTGCAGTAAGCGTTGCTATATTGTTAATAAGAATAAAAGATTTACACCGAAAAAGTAGTAGTAACAACACAATGTTAATAGTAAAAAGCTAATAACAAAAATATCTTTAGCAAAATACTATGTTCTTCAGAAAACGACTTATATTGAATGTTCCCAGCAATATTAAGCTTGATGTGTTTCTTGTTTCTTTCTCTTTGTTTATTTCTGAAACCTTCTCAAACCTTAAGCCTTAAGCCAGAAAAATATGGAGAATAAGAAATAGGAAGCAAAGAGCACATTGTAGATTAAATTTTATTGTTGTTGGTATTAATCGACTTTAATTTTACGTGCATATTGTTACTGCAACTTTAGAAAAATAAGATGTAGTTGACATAAAAAATTATTATAACTTGAATGAGATTAGTAATTTTTTCTCATCCAGAGTGTGTGCTCATTAAAATATTCCTGCCGCAGGTGCAACCATGGAGATTGGTTGTAGGGCGAGTAGGACGTATTGGACATGGTGAATTAAAGGGATGGAGTTGGTTACTTTCTAGAAAAGCACTTCTGAAAGCGTCTAAGCATCTAAAAGAGATATGCGGTCAATGTAGTCTCATGTATCCTTCAGCGGCACCATGCGTACTCAGTGCGTGCTTAGTCTCGCTCGAGCCAGACTCTACTCTCAGATTAATGGCCGATCAGTTCACTCCCGACGAGAGATTCAGTCAAGCATCCGTAAACTGCCAATTATCCACACCGCAGGATGTCACGTGTACTCATATACTTGTTTTTCCCACGTCCGCTACTTCTCAGGTAAGAGATTTAGGATAAATTCACAGCAATAACGGTCTCGCGTTAACCGCGCGTTACCGTGAGACCCGCGACCGTGATGCTAAATAGTAGTGTTTTTGATGTTTCAGTCATCGCAGACAGCGTTTCAAGAACAACACATTAACGTACTGGGAGACGATGAATTGTTCGAGTTCTCCGCTCTAAACGACGATATGCCGGAAGGCATGGAGGGAATGGGCGACTTTAATGATATATTCAATGTTTGGCCCGAACCAGGAGCAGGCGGTGGACAGAGCCCGGGCGGAAGTCCACATCGTCAGGAAGGATCGCCACTCGGCGGGGACGGTGGTGGATCAGGCTTGGGCAATCATGATGGTCCTGGTAGTCCGTTTCCATGCAGTAATACTCCAAGAGTAAGTTTGAAAAGAACTCAAAACTGCGATTTGTCGCAATAATGCCGTGAAGATATACATGTTTTCAAAATAGCTTGAACACCATTTCTTTCAATCCGTTATGGAACGTAACCGATAGTTGAGAGAGTCCTTATTTCTGATTAATTGCCAAAAGTTATATTCTCTCATTGGGCTGCGTTCCAGACTGATTTTAAACTTCTTTCTAAAAAAAAAGTTTTCAAATCGTCTTGAAAACCAGTATACGTTCGCTTGAAATATAAATGTATTTCCCAGCGATATAAAATTATGCGTAACGTAAGCGTAATTCTGTGTGGATTTTGCAGGTAGCGATAGCCGAGCAAACGGAAGAAGTTGGCACACTTTTGCAGCAACCGCTCGCTCTCGGTTATCTAGTATCGACTGCGCCAACGGGGCGTATGCCACCATGGTTTTGGGCAGCCTGTCCGCATCTCGAGAACGTTTGTCCGGTTTTCTTGAAGAACGCATTACATCTGCACAGTCCCGCGATACAGCAAAACAGTGATGACTTACTTCAGCAGCAAAGCGCACCTACTGCTCATCCGTTGGATTCGCAATATACCACTGACGTGCTCAGGTTCGTATCTGTGATTTCGCATCTAATGTCACAGAGACTTATCTGCAAGTTGTCGTTGTTAGTAATGTACAAACAATAACAAATGATATATTTGTCTCGCAGGTATGTTTTGGAAGGGTACAACGCACTGTCGTGGCTCGCGATGGACGCAAACACCAAGGATCGGCTGTCCTGCTTACCGGTGCACATACAGGCGCTCATGCAACTTTACCATACAACGGCAGCTCTCGTCTGACCCACACCCTCTCCCTTTGTAGTGCAGTATGTGCACCTCTCTCACGCACTCCTCCTTATCGTACCGTCACTCGGGGCTTTACGAGAGCAACTGATTTCCTATGCCCTTTACCTAAATACGTTAGTGACTTAGAGAGATTGTCTAGGTACAGAGTACGTACGATCCTTCGACCAGCAGCCGTCGATGATTCCTCACGTGTAAAAAGCAAACCCGAGCCTTTTTTACTCGGAATAATAATTAAAATACGACACACACGTTAATATGAATACAATGGCTGAAAAATGAAAAAAAAAATAATACTGAATACCCGATAAACGATCAGCACAGCGACTCTCTTTACCATTTTTCTATTATAAACAGGCGAACTATAGATTGTACTTTGTGTTTACGAATATTGAGTAAGGAAACGAGATGCGTGTCCGCAGTACGACCATTGTCAGCGAAAGCAGCATTACGAGCGCATGTGAAACTTTAGCGGTATGACAGAGAGAAGCGAATGTGTTGCGCAAGTGACTGTGAGCGATGAGAGACGCTGTAGGGAAGAAAGAGGGATAACATAGGAGAGAATGAGAGATAAAAGAGAGTATATAGGAATGAGAGAGAGAGAGAAACGATGGATGGAAGAGAAGATTGTATGAGAGAGAACGGAAGAGAGAAAGAAAGCGAGAGAAAGCAAATGAATAGGAGAGTGCATAATAAGAAAATGATTTTCGATTGCCTCTCTGTCGATAGATAGTTCAATTACAAATCAGAATCTCTAGAAAATTATGTAACCAAAAGTTTTTAATTGTAAATTGAATTTTGTACAAAGCTTTTATTATTAATAACGACGAAGTAATATAAATGATATTACGTTGTTTTTTAATTTTATATAGATGATATAAAAAAAAAGAAAGAGAGGTGGACTTCTTTTTTATAAGCGATGCCTCGTACAAGCCCCTGGTGTGAAGATAAGTATGACGATTATAATATTATATTATGCTCGCGCGGCACTGGGTCGCTGTTATCATGTTTCCCGGACCCGTTAGCGCAATTTTTCGATGCTGTTTGACAAATTTTATTCGGATTAGGTGACCTCTATATATTATACATACATTATAGTGTGTAAAATATTGTTTTTAAATAATTTATGAAGTGAGACATCGCCGAGATTAGATAATTGAATGAGAGAGAGGGAGATTATAACGCGAATGAGAGAGCAAGGAAGAAAGAGAGAGAAAGAATAAGCCAGTTATAGATTGCAGAGATTGTTTCCTTCAATTTAATCGAATGAAGAAAAAAAGAAATGAAAAGACACGAAGAGAGAAATGTGGGGCGCGTCTGAATGGAGCCACGGTGGCCAATTGCGTCAGTCGCATAGTACAAATATGACTTGTACATAGAACCCCCTCCCCCCTAATTAATTGGTTAATTTACTCACACACCCACACTCACTCTGTATCTATAGTATTTATTACTGGGTAGTATGTCATTATTGGGATTATTATTATTAAAAAATTATTATTATTACCATTATTATATATTAATATTACGAAATACAGTTTTATGTGTATATATAATTATATATATATATAATTACATTTCATTTTTATATTTGCAGCGTGTCTGAGAGATTATATTGCAAGCACAGTAGTAATCTGCATATTAGATGCCTTTGGTTTCCTTACGTAGTAGCCATAAAAGATATATATATATATATATATATATATATATATATATATATATATATATATATATATATATATATATATATATATATATATATATATA